CAGTAGCTAATGATTCAACTCCAAGCCTTGATGTTCAATTACCTTAGCATGAGACACCATTAGCGCCCACGTGATATTCCTGCAAGTGTGTCTATAAGTGTGGGAGAAGCTCATGCAGTGGGACAACCTTCAAATAGCAAGAGATGAGAATGATGGATAAATGTTTTTTTCCTGTCAGTCTTTGATTGACATATTTTTGGAGTCATCCTGTATGTACCTGAGGTGTTCCAACAAATATCCAGCACCACCCACCTCCAGAGGTATATACTTATACTGATGTTTCCTCTACTTATATTTCATTCTTTCTAATTCCTCTCTTTGGCTCCCTTTGCCACAGTCTGGATGACACTCCCACTGCCATACTTTGAGTGTCACTCATTACTGAAGAATTCATGTGTTGGAAGCTTAGTCCCCAGTGTGACATGCTTAAGAGTTGGTGAGATCTTAAAAGATGGACCTTAGTCGTAGATCACTGGGGCTGCTTACTCTTGTAGACAATTGCTCTATTTCTTTTGGGATCCTGGTTAGCATTCATGAAGGGTCATTATAAAAGATTAAGACCTGGCTCTTCCTTTCTCTCCAGCTTCTCACAGTATGATCTCTTCCTCTTACACAAAACTCTACCATGATGTCATATGCCATGTGGATTCTTTGCAGATCTAGCATTATCCTGTTAGCACTTGTAATCTCCAAAGCTGTAAGCTGAATAAACCTCTTTTCTTTTTAAATTATCCAGTCTCTGATATTCCATTATAGAAACAAAAATAGACTAAGATACCTATTGAATGATATACCTCTTTAACACTTGTTTTAGTTTCTTCTGAAGACAAAGACTGAGACATTGGAATAAGGGAAAGGGAAGATAGATAGAAGTTGTAAAAAGAGTGAGGTCAAAATATCTATTTTTCTGGCTTTCCGAATTAGTCATGTGGGTTTACATCATCTTGCTACCACAAAGTAGTTACAGATTAAAAGTTTTAATTCTCCCTGTTGAATATAAAAGATTTCCCTCCCTTTTCCTTAGAGTATTTATTGTAGAAAGCATGTGGAGTTTTTTTTTTTTTTGTCTCTGTCTTAAATGCATATAAATCATTTTAAGAGCTAGATAAGCTTCTTGTCAGCTCTTACCCAAGAAATATTGTTCTTCAAGACTTGGAAACCATCTCTTTGAAATTCATCCAAGAAAGATAGTGCACCTTATTTCCAGATTTTTGCAAAAGTGTAGGAGCCTAGCTAACATTAACGGGTACCTCACTTCAATTTGCCAAGTATCTTATATCATAAAAATAAAAGAGGTATATATCTTTTGCTTAGTATAAAGTGAATAAACTAACACAGATTATCTCAATTACTAGGTTAATATATGATGAACTATTTGTCACAGATAATATTGTCAAGTCCTCTTACGTAAAGACTAGTTACTATTTCTCTTGAGAATATGTACGTAATGAATTTTGTTTTATTATTTAAAGGATGACATATATTTCTGTCTTTGTGATCTCCTAGCAGATTTCTTGTGATACACATCACATTCTAGTTTAATGTTTATTTGGTAATAAAATATTTTCTTTTTATCTTTGAGGAGAGATTGTCTGGGTTGGCGGGAGAATGTGTTTTTAATTATATTTCCTCAGCACTTCCAAAAGCTCTCTCCTTGTGCTGGTAACTGTTTTTTTTTTTATTCTCTTAGAACCTTCAAACCTAGGTATGGTAAAATATCCCTGCTATTAGAAGCCTCCAACTTTTGCAACTTGCTCTGATGCTTTCCCCAAACCACCCCAGCAACTTTTCCAACAGTCATTTTATTAAAATCTCCTAAAATTAAACATCTGAATGTGTCATTTGTTTCCTTTCAGGGTTTTGAAATAATAGGAGAGACTAAAAGCAGGGAAATTAGGTAGAATAGTACTGTGATATTCCAACAAAGATGATGGTGCTGGTGAATAATAATGAGAGATTTATTAAATGGATATATTATTCTTTAAAAAAGAAAGAACCAGGAAGATTTGCTGCTAAATTGCAATTTGATATGGTATAAAAAAGAAATAGCATAAGGATAACTGTAAAATGTTTGGACTAATTAAAATTTTGAGATTTGCTTGTACTGAGAGGGGAAATAGTTGGAGAGAAACATTCTTTAGAATAAGGGAAAAAAATCACAATAGCTAAACTGTGGAACCAACCTAGATGCCTTTCAGTAGATGAATGGATAAAAACAAAATGTGGCATATATACACAATGGAATCTTACTCAGCAATAAAAGAGAATAAAATCATGGCATTTTCAAGTAAATGAATGGCGTTGGAGAAGATAACACTAAATGAAGTAAGCCAACCTCCCCCCACAAGAAAAGCAAATGCCAAATATTTTCTCTAATATAAGGAAGCTGATTCATAGCGGGGTGGGGAGGGGGAGCATGGGAGGAATAGATGAAAATCTTGTTCTTGTGCTTGCAATATTTGAAGTAGATATATAAAATCCAGGGATAGATATTAAGTAGACCATCTTATGTATGAGTCTGTATGCCAGGGAAGAAATTATGTCATGAAGAATGAAGATAGGTGCACCTATATAGAGATGATATTGGAAATCTTAAAGAGCACCAAAAAAATGTCTATGGACAAAGAGAGAGGATTTACAAATATTGAGCCCTGGGGTGCTCTAAATCTTAGGGATAAAACTGAAAAGTGCAGGTGGTCAGTGAAGTTGAAGAGGAAATAAGACAGAGTAGATAAGTCAGAAGCCAAGTAAATAAAGGAAGAAGTATTCAGATGTGTCTCTCATGTTAATCATGTTTTAGTAACATAAGGACCAATTGAATTGAACAACTTTGAAGTAATTGGTGTCTTTGACATGAGCATTTTCATAGAGTGGAAGGGACAACCATTCACTGGAGACTACAAAGACAGAAAGTATAGATGGAGTTTTTAGAAATAGTTTTGTTTTGTCATTTTTTTTTTCTTACAGAGAAGTGGGGCAAAAGGAAATGAGATTCTATACATCTATGGAGAACTAAGAGAGGGACAAAGTTTATTCACAGGACAAGTATAAAAGCCAGATTGTATAATCTGTGGTGACTTTGATAGATGTGTTCATGGAAGCATGGTAAAAAAATGTCTCTGGTTTCTTTATTTCCTAAGTAAGAATTAAAATCTCCTTAAATTTAAGATGGTGAAAGAAAAATTGTGGATTTGATGAGTGAGGAAAAAGTATGCGATGATTTACTAGAAATGTGGGAGAATAAATGGACTAGACAAACACAGCATGATTGCATAGCCCTACTAGGGAAAAACTTGGGGTTAGTGAAATGGATTAAATGTGACATTAGTCAGCATGGTTGTGCCAGTTCCGCTACATGGTGGCAGGCATGGACTCGTCCAAAAGTTGTATTTGACCAGCTTTAGGTTTTTAGGAAAGTGCTCAGACAGAGAGAAAGGTGGGATAAATGAATTGATATATTCAAGAGACTGATTTTAGTGATTATGAAATTTTTCATAAAATGCATGTGAAATAGTAAATGCACATGGGATTAGTAAAGAACAGACAAAAGAGTATGATATATAGATTTTAAGTCCTAATTGATTTAAAATATTGTTATCAAAGTGTTAGAGTAAAGTTTTAGCTGGGAGAAGGAACTGGCTAGTAAAGTATGTGAAATCATATTACAAGCAACCAAAGTATTTTCTTAATATTGGAATGGGGCAGTGGGGTAAAAGGCAGGGTTATTTATGACTGATAGCCTTGTTAAGAAGCAGTATTGTGTAAACCTAGTGATGGGAGATGAAAAAAATTACAAAAACTTCCTAATAGATCTTCATCTTTGAGCATATCACTTTACCTAAGAGCCTGTTTCCTCATGTGCAACCAGGAGATAATAGTAGCTACCTCAGTGAATCCTTATAATGATTAACTGGGATAATTATAAATTGTTTATTAGAGTATCTGGCACATTGTAGACACTCAATAAATATTCATTACTCATACTGTCATACAAGCTTTTATCCAATAGTTTTCTGTTGTAGAAAATTTGATTTAAATTGCATAGCTAAATGTGATTTAGAAATTAAAGCAAAGTCTTACAATCATTTTTGGTAGCTCCAAGTTAATGTCAAGTAAAATTTATTATAACTATACACATAATAATATTTCAAAAGTATCCATTTCTGAGAATATGTATAAAGGCACATTTAGCTTAATTTAATAAGACAATGACTTTGTTCTGGCTATATTTATATGAATTAAGCATAAAAAAATGAGAGTTTTATTTTGAAAGTTCTTTTATCTCCATTTCTGTAAAGATAGGATAAAGCAAGTTGTTAGTACACATTGCATGAATATTTTAAAATTATTCTATTGTTTAATAACATTTTCATTCATTCATTCATAATACCTATGCCCTAAAACACTGTATTAGGTAATAAGGAAAAAGACAAACTAGAAAGATATGACACATAATTTTAAATGGCTTACATTCTAGTGGGAGAGAAAAAAATTAAACAAATTCCCCCTAAAAACAAGCAATTTAGAGAAAAGAAAACAACAGGAAAATGAACTTCTTTTTTTTTTAAATGAAAAAGAATAATAAGAGAGCTGTTAAGTTTGCGCCAGGACCTGGATAATGAGAAGACCTCATCCATGTATAGAACAGAGGGATTCCAGGTGGCAGGAAAGACAAGATGGACATGGTAAATTAGGGATTGATATCAGGAAAAAGAACTTTAAAAATTGTATCAGAAAGGACAATGGGAATATCTTTGACACTGTTGTAAGGTGAACTTCTATTTTAGCTGTGTTAAGTTTAAGATGATTATTAGACATCCTTGTTAAGATTAAAGTAAGAAGTTAAGAGATCTGTTCTAAGGAATGGGCAGTCTTAATGATAACACTTATTATTAAACAACAAGAAAGAAGCCAGAATGATTCTGGAATCTCCATTTTGTCTTTGACCTCTATATTTATGAAAATTCTAAGATTCTGCTTCTAGAATATACATAGCTCCAACAAGTCCTCAACTCCTCGACTTCTACCATCCAAACAGGAAATGTCACTTCTCACTTCAACCTTGTTTTTAACCCAGTGCTGTTTCTACCTTTGGGTCCTATTCTCAACACAGTGGACAGAGTCATCCATTTAAAATGTAAGGAAGATAACGTTATTCTCCTTTGCACACTCCAGTGGTTCCACTTTTCATTTAGAATATAACCGAGGATCCTACAATGGTCTCCATGTTTATTATGATCCATTCAGAGGTGATCTCTCTGACCTCTCTTCTTACTATTCTCCAACCTGGTTACTCTGGTGAAGCTCACTGTCCTCAGTGCAACTTACTGAAGGAGACCTATGTCTAGCCCTCTATTTAGAATTCCTGACTACCTTATTTAGAATACCTAACTATTATTTTTCATATATTGTCTTCTTCTGAAATACATGATTTAGAATTTTTTAAAAAAACAAAATGTTCTCTTAATTCATACAGTGATAGTGGTCTTCCATGAAGCATATCTTCCATACAATATAGTGGTCTTGTAGGTCTGTCTATCCTTCAAACCCCACAAGATTAATAATCTGTGAAAATATAGTTTATTGTCAGTTTTCAATTAAAGTAAAACAACTATTTACTGTGTAGATCCATCTCTCTTTCCAACCAAAAAATAGTTCTTGAGACACTTCTGAATGTTCTTACTTTCTTGAAAATGCAACCCCACACCTTTCCAAGATGTTGAAAGTCATACATACTTTCCCTGAAGCCTCTTTCAAGAGCAGTGGGTACTATAGTCTCCACAAGGAACCATATGTTGGTCAGGGAATGCTGGGCTCAAACTGTGTCAAATTTTACCACATATTGAAGACCATTTCCTTTCTATCCAATAAATGTATGTGGACAGAACTCCTACTCAAAGACAATCAAAATGGTAATTTGGGGCTTTTCAAGTTTTACATAAGATGTTGGTCATCCATGGCATATCTCTACCCTCATGCTGTCTGCTCTTTGGACTAAGTCATTGTGTTTCCCAACTATTACCTAGGACTTTATTTTCTTAAATGCATAGTAATTATTTAAGGTAGCAATAATTTTGTAAGTAAAATATCCATACTTGTTTACATTAGAATGGTGATCAGATCTATGAAGAAAACACACTCATATTTCAGACAAGTACAGTCTAGATGGAAAATAAGTACACATCAGTGGCACATAAGAGTAATCACTACAGCCAGACTACCTGGGTTCATATCCCAATTCTACCACTTCATAGATGTGCCCAATCACATACAATTTATTTCCTGTGCCTCATTTTCTCATGATAGAGGTATCATAGCTAACTTCTTTGAAGTGTTATTAAAAGTAAATGAATTAATTGATCAGTATGATGTATGGTATAGTGAAAGCATTTAATATGTTAGCTATTGAATTATTATTTTATTGGATGAGCCTAAAATCAGTTTGTTGATTAATATTTGGGATAACCTTATATTTTTTTAAAATATCACAACATAGGGGTTTTGAAGTTAGAGGCAGTTTTCAGGAAGTGGTAGAAACTATTTCTGCTTCAACTGTGATATACATGAAATTTTTAAAAATATTTTTAGTTGTTGATGTACCTTTATTTTATTTATTTGTATGTGGTGCTGAAAATCTAACCCAGTGCCTCACACATGCTAGGCAAACACTCAACCACTGAGCCCTATACATGCAATTTTAAAACTGGAAAATAACTTGGCAAAAGCTCAATTCTTTTTGGAAACATTTTTTTTTCTATGACTACCTCCAAACTTTTGTTTCTTCTCTGCTTTTTTTAAGATTAATTCTTTCACTGAAGTAGATCCTTTTTTTGTGTGTGTGTGGTGACTATTAAATACAACAATTGATTGCTGCTGTATGTTCTACTAATGAGGCATAAGAAATTCTCTCTCCTGTCACTTTTACACAGCTGACTTCATTCACACTGCATAAATGAACACCTAAAAACAAATCAGTGTCAGTTTTTATTAATATGTAGCAGTTTTCAGATTACAGTTATCACAACCAGAAATGTATTTGCTGGTGAAAAGTGAAGATTAAAAAATGATGAATTTATGAGAATTGTGTTTCAGTTTCAACCTTTCAGGGAAGTAAATACTGGAGATAGTCTAGTAAGGTAGAAAGAACACAGGGTGAGGCAATAGAACTGAGTCTGAATACCACATCCTTCCCTTTTCAGGTTGTGTAAACTTAATGGGATACTTAATCTCACTGAATCTCACATTTTCTGTCTGTAAAACAGAATTTCATTCCCATTAAAGTCAGGCTATCTAAAGCAATAAGAGATACCTTATTCAACATAGCAGGAGGCAAAATATTTTACTGAGGGCAGGAATTAGGATGTTAAGCTCCTAAATATTGAGGGCTGTTTCAGATACAAAGAAGATGGATGTTTGGCTTATAAGACTTTATTCCACCCCAAAAATTAGGGCCCTGGACTTCTCAGTTGTTGTCTATGCACAAGCTGACTATTGCTACTCTCCAAGGAGCAGTCTCTTGGATACTGGATCCCGATGTTTCCTGCATACCTCTTCTACTAGCCTTAGGCCCTGCATTTGGGGAGCATTAGCCATCCCATCTTTCTGAATTTGCATCCCACAGCTACATCTCACTTGCAGAAATCTGTGGTTTAGAATATGTTTTATTAGCCCCCCCTAAGGTTGTCTACCTTTAATTTATGCTGCAAAAATCAGTTAGTGCCATTCTAGCAAAATTCCTAACTGACCCACAACCTCTCAACTCAGAAACACTTCTCAAGAAAAATGAAAGGGATTCAGAGGGCAATCTAGAGTCTAAACCTTCTACCTTCTACCATTCTACCTTCTAGTTTTAATTATTCCATTCTCAAGGGGGCCTCTGCACAAGTTCTCCTTCTTATGATTTATCTTCCCTGGAACAAGGTGAAGCACTCCATGCTCTCTTTAATTCCTTAATTTAATTATACCTGTATCCAGAGATAAGCCATGTCATGCCTCTGAGTATTCACACTCAGATATATCTAAGCCGGGCCTGCAACCCACCACCAATGAACTATTGTGGAAGTGGCCCCATGAGACTTGTGAGTTTAGGCAGGGAAAAAAAAAAAAAAAAAAAAAACAACAACATGGTAGCTTCTGCACTTGTCTTTTCTGAGGAAAGAAAGCCACCAGATAAGAAGGCTTAATACCCTGAAACTACCCTGTAAGGTATCACAGGCTAGCTCTACTGAGTAGTCACCAGAATAAAGTCTTCACAGACCTGAGCATTTCTGGCCATTCTAAAACTAGATGTCAGATACATAGTGGAAGAAACCTTCCAAATACTTTAACTCAGCCACTATCTGATTACAACTTCAAATGAGAACCACCAGGCTGAGCTTATCAGTTTCATGAACCAAAGAAGATAATATCCCAATGTGCTTTGGGGAAGTATGTTTTATAGCCATATATAAATCAGACATTTTTTTTTCCTTAAAAAAAAAGGAGGAGCAATTAGAATCCACATCTACTCTTCTCATGCTTCTGTCTCTTCTTTCCTTCACAATCCTCTGGGTTATCAATGTATCCAGCTGTGCTCACAGTGCTCCTGGTTATCGAGGAGGGAGTTTTTTGTTGTTGGTTTTGTTTTGCTCTCTTAATAGCACACTAGTTTCTGTCCTCTATCTTAATAGTTTCTAAGCTTTTTGTATCTTCTGCTTCTCCGGATAAAAAGACAAATTGACAATTAATGTACAAAAGACTTATCAAGGAAATGAAACCAGAGGAGAAAATGACGATGCAATGAGAAAAGCAGACAGAGGAAGAGGTCAAACAAAAGTACAGTTTCGGGCAATGTCTTAGAGGTATAGCTTTAGTCTGATCCTATAGAGTAACTCTGGAATATAAATTATGTTTCAGTAGTTTGGTTTAAGGAAGAGGAGGTGAGTTTTCATAATTCTTCCCTGGTTAGTCAATGGTTAAAAAAATTCCTGGTAAGGGGGCAGTGGGAAGATGAACTCCAAGGGCTTCTAATTCTGAGTTCCAGCTGGCAGGCAAATCAGCTCCCATAGCAGCCATCTGAAGAAAGCCACTGGTATGTGCTCTTGAAAAAAAAAAAATGAAGTAGAAGCTGGAAAATGAAAAACAATGAAAGGAATCCAAGAGAATTTGGTTGGCACCAACAGTATTAGTATTATATTCTTATATGTGGTGTGGTAGGAAAACATAAAAACACATAAAAAGAACACATAAAAAGGTATTGCTGCATTAAAAGCAGACTACTAGCTAGTATAGACAGAAATCAGTCCAGAATTTTTTTTTCTTCTTTTTCAAGTATTGCTGGAAATATAGTTAACAAATCAAAAACATATAAGACAACTGAGCAATTAGAAAATCTTTCTTTTTCCTCACTCCTCCCTATTCTTTAAGTGACACTGGGATATAATTAATACATATAAAATTATAGAAAATCATGAGTTTAGTTCAGAAATCCTAATAGTTGCTTAGTCTCAATATTAAAAGTCTACCTAAAGTGTTTACATATTTATTTTAAATGGTAGAGTCCATTTTGCACCTGTATGTTTGCAACTAGTACTCATAAAAAATGGCCACAATATTGGTTATTTACTTATAATAAATAAAATGCTGTTTACAAATGTAAAGTGATTCAAACAGACAAAGAATAAATCAAATAAATATGAAACATTGGGTTTTCAAAAATATTTTGCTAATCAGGACAATGTAACATGATCAGTGGATATTATTTCAAAGCACAAGAAATGGCAAGATGAGGTTACTTGATTTGGTCTGAAAACAAAATCCAAATTTTAGATAATCTTAAATGTGACAGAAGTTACAGATTGACATTGCCTTCCTTTAGAAAATGTTCTAGTATGTATTCAAGTCTCTATAGGGGAAGGAAAAAATGGTTTCTCTTTATCCTTCTAAAAGCTGAGCTATGAAAGGTTAATACAAGAGAAACCATCTGTAATTATATATGTACATATACATGAAGGTCCTAAAAATACAGAACTGAAAGGAAAAAAATGGATGACTGAAGCTGATAGGACACTCTGAGCTATAGAGAGAAACAGGGGTTTGGGTCTTCTGATGAGTGGTGGAGAAAAGATGTAGGAATATAAAGGGAGTAGAAGAATGGTGAGCCAAAGTTGTTTATTTGTAATGCATGTAAAAGTCTCTCTGGTGACCAAAGATGTCCAGAGTAACTTCCTGATTGTGGTTTAGATATGAGGTGCATCCCAAAAGCTTATTTGTAAGATAATGAAAGAAGGTTTAGGTATGAAATGACTGGATTTGAGAGCTTTAACCTAATCAATGCATAATCCTCTGATATAAATTAACTGGGTGGTAACTTTAGGCAGGTAGACAATGGCAAGAATAGGTGGGTCATGTCTTTGGGGTTTATATTCTGTCCCTGATAAGCATAGCTCTCTCTGCTTTCTGATTGTTATGTCCTGAGCTGCTTTCCTCTGCTACACCCTTCCACCATGATGTTTTGCTTTGCTTTGAGCCCACAAAAATGGAGTTGGTCATCTATGGACTGAGACCTCTGAAGCTGTGATTTTCAAATAAACTTTTTCCTCCTCTAAATTGTTCCTGTTGGGAATTTTGGTCACAGCAATGAAAGATAATGAAACAGAAATTGGTACCAAGAAGAGGGGTTGTTGCTGTGACTAACCTGACCATGTAGTTTGGAAGCATTTGGAGCTGGTTTATGGGGTGAGGAAATTTGAAAAGTTCTTTTAGATGCAAGCTAGAAAACCTTCAGATTGTTGTAAGTGAATTTTAATGGGCTATTTTGATGGGAGTTGAAAAGACCAGACATGCAGACAAGACTGAGGACAGTAATGATCAGGTTCATGAGGTTTCACAGGTGAAGAAAATCTCTATTGGAAATTGGACTAGAGGTCATTAATGCTATGTTCTGGAATGACACTGTCCACATTTTGCCCATATCTTAAGACTTTTTGTGAGGAAAAATTTAAAGGTACTGTACTAATTAATCCAGGGGAGGAAATTTCAAGGCAATACAACATTCATGAGATGGCATGGATATTGCTGTTGGCTTTTAGCCAAGTTTACTGTGATAATAAAGAGCAGAAAGCAGAACTGAAAGATTTGAAAACCTTGCAGTTAAGTCAGAAAATTTGGAATAAAACTGGGATGAGGAAGTTGTGGTAGTTAAAGACATTACATCCACTAAAGAAATGCTAAGTACTTGAAAACAATAAAAGTACTTGGAAAAACTAAGTACCCAAACAATAGAAAATATGACTTGAGGGCATCTCAGTCTCAAGAAAGTAAAAGTAAAAATTCCTTTAAGAGACCATGGATGGAAGCACTCTGCGCAGAGGACCTAGGAAGTTTTTTCACCATGCTCAGTTGCCCCAGCAATCCACATTTCCTAAATGTTTGCCTACTGATGGAGATGGTGGCAGACCCTGGAATCAACCATGTGGTGCTGGTTCTGCACGAATGCATAATACTGGAGTTCGGGGGTCATTGATTTTGAAGGAAGGCTTGGGAGACCAGGCTAAGTGTAGCAGGATAAGAGACCCTGTAGGTTTCCCCTGAATGAAGTGAAAAGGAACTGAAGCTGTAGTGAAGACACACAAGATTAAGAGGTGCCAGTAACATGGAACATCTACTGAGAAAAGTTGTAGGAATCAAGCTGAAACAAACCAAGAAAGAAACCATGTGGACTGGGCTGCAACCAAAATGGTTATAGGGATGGAACTACACAGCCCCTTTGGAGACAACATCATAATGCCATGTGCCCTAGACAATGGACAGGGAGCAACAGAACTTGTTTTTCCAGATGGATTTCATTCTTGTTTCAGCCTGCCCCATCCCTTCTTTATATGGCCTTATTTATCCTTATGGAATGGAAGTGTTTACTCTATGCCATTATATGTTGGATATAAGTAACTTTTACATAGGCTCATGCTGAGAATTTGCCATAAGTGTCACAGGAGACTTTGGATTTATACTTTTAGATTATGCTGGAAACTGTTGAGACTATGGTGACTCTGGAAGATGGGACAAAATTTATTTTACATTATGATGGGCACGAGAGTTTGGAGGCCAGGGAAGAATGCTATGGTTTTTATATGAGGTTGGCCTCAAAGCTCATGCATCAGAAAATACCAGAAAGTTTAACTATGAAATGATTGGGTTATGAGAGCCTTAACCTAATTAATATATTAATTCACTGGTATGGATAAACTCCAGAGCAATGGAGTTGGCCATCTGTGAACTGACACTTTCAAAACTGTTATCCCAAAAAACGTTTTGCTCCTCTAAAATTTTTCTTGTCGAGTCTTTTGGTCACAACAATAAAAAGCTGACTAAAATGCTTATATGTATGTGTATCTTTACTAATAATTTTCTAGATGTAAATTTTCTTTTTAAAAGGACTGCTTTTCAGAGGTACTCTTCATTTTGCAATTTCTGGAAATAATGCAATAGAAGTATGTTTTGAAATGACATACTCTAATTTCCTTTAGTAACATTTTATGATGGCATTTCCTCTGTCAAGACACATCCATCTGCCTATTTCATATTACTTGGTTTCTGGTCTACATGTACTTGCATTGTGGCAAAATTTCCTTCAAGGCATGTTTTCTTTGCATATATTGTTTAAACAACTTACATATTGCCTAAGAGTCTATTTGGTTGAAAGAACGGCATATAAGCTGTGAATCCACTTAACAGGTGCATATTACTATAATATTGTAATTTCTTCTGAGTAGCTCATGAAATATCGGGGACAACTGGTCCTCTCAAGTAATTGGAGGATCTCTCTCTCTCTCTCTCTCTCTCTCTATATATATATATATATATATATATATTCAATATCATATATATTCCATATCAATAAAGTATGATGTTTTATTTATTTTTAGATAATGTTATGATTACAAATAGAATCTAGTCTTTTCTTCCTACACCCAAATCACAGTATCTTGTCCAACCACCAGAGTCTATATATTCTACTACTCTTTTTCCTAGTTTCTTTCTTTCCAATTTCAAACAAACTTTAAGCAGATAAATATTTTATAATCACAAAAACACTTATTTCCTCCCCCTCTTTAATCTACCTTCTGAAATTGCCTATTCAAACCATTTCAAGGAGTATAGTCTTGTGTGTGTGTGTGTGTGTGTGTGTGTGTGTGTGTGTGTGTGTGTATGTGTGTTTCAGCTCTAACATAGCTGAGATTCTCTTTTATATTTCTGGAATGATACATTTTGTTGTCTCTCTGCTGAAAGCCCCAGGAGCCCAGCTTCTTTTGCTCTTATTCTCAATTCATGTTTGTCATATTTCCATGTAATTTTGAATTCAACATATTATAATACTATGTAAAGTTTTCTATGTTATAAAATACACATATTCAGGCATGTATAAATAAAACTTTTCCAAAATATATCTGAAAATATTGCTATATTATGCCAGAAAATGTTTCTTCCTTGTATTATTAGTGAGATAGCACATTCTACTAAATTTACATATCTTACTAGAAGATGAAACATGCCAATTGAGCAATTGTCTTAATTAATAGTTGTTCAGTGAACCACAGTACATTGCTATTCATAAAGAATTAAGTGGGACAGCTGACTGTTTAGGTCTATTTAGTTCTGATACAAGTGTTCCAAAACATACTAAGCCACGTTAAAATAATTAGCAAGTTGTACCCTCATACACACACACACACACATACATACACACACAATTAGCAAGTTATACACTCATACATACATAGGATTATGTATATGCATGTGTGTCTAAGAGTAATTATTTCATATGAATTTTTAATTGAAAAGCAACAAATTTCCTTCTTTCTTTACTAGATTTATTGAAAAATTTATTTTACAGACTAGTCTATTTGAGAAAATACTAGACAACTTCTTTTAATGAATTTACTACTTGTTTTGCTTCAAAAGTTTAACCATAAATTAGACACTGAAATAAGACTTGCATTCTGAATACCCCAAAGTAACTATTTTCCTTGAGATGGTCATAGTACATGATCAGATATTAACCAGATAATACTGTAAATAAACTTACTGGTATTTTTCTCACAAGTAGAAAGATGTGTTATGGATACTCTGTTTTTTTTTTTTCTGATTGCCTTTAATTGTGAATCTACATTTATAAAGAAACAGAGAAACACATAATTCCTTCATCAGTGTTGTGAGTGTAATGATGAGTCAAAGAAAATTGTATCTTGATAACATTCACAACTGACTTCACCTCTGAGTTTTTTAATTATTCTCTTATTTATTCAAATATAGCAATTAGTGATTTATGCTTATTCTCTGTCAGGAAGTTCAGTAAATCTTTTTTTCATTTATTTCATTTAATCCTAACAACCCTTTAAGAATAAGTACTATGATTATCAACATTATCTTATTTTTAAGGTGAAGAAGTTGAGCCTCAGAGATGTTGAGTGACTTGTCCGAGATGACACAGGGATGATCTCCAGGATATTCTTTAGCTGGAGGATAGATGGTTTCTCTATACATCAGCATACTGGTATCAGTGGTCATCAGAATGATGGTACCAACTGTTACTACTTCTGTACCTTAACTTCTCCACTTCAGACATGGTCTACATTTGTGCAATAAAAATCTGTTTATAGATGAATGTTACTGTGAACCCTCTTTTTTTTTCTTTAAGAGAAAAGGAAAAAATAGCTATAAACATAGATGGTATTTCTTCCTTAATTAATCAATATTAATATTTTTCATTTGGTTAAAAAATAGCCTCAGTAAATATCTGGATTTATTATAATCTTAATACTCACAAATACCTTTTGTAAATCTCTGAACTATGTAATGTATAATATTGCTAATATTGCCGTTTCAAAGTATTTTTGCATTACATGATGTTTGCACATAAAACACAAAACACAGGATTTGCTTTCCTAAGGCTGCCTCCACTCCTTACCAAGGAAAATATAAATGTATCTTCTTTATTGAAAGTAAAGATCTCCATCTGCAAAGTTTTTGTTTTCATCCATTAAATAGGTCTGCCAATAAAGTCTTATTTTTTAAAACTCCTTTCTAAAAGTGTCCTGTTTATGGATGCCAGACTCCTCATAAGCCTTATCTTTCTTATCACGGAAATAATTCATAACACACACTAACAGCTGTCAACCAGTAAGTCCTTGGGGAGATGATAATGTGGATAAGAGAACCAGGTTAGAGCTGGAGTAAGTGGTGACATACAGAAGCCGTCCTGAATGTATCCCTATAAGATATCTCAAAATGTCACTGAGAGAAAAATGTATTTACCAGGACTCCTTTATAAAACAATATACTGTGTGTGCTTGGAAGGAAAATGTGCCTGGTTATTCTTATGGAGGGTGGCGGTAAGGATACTTCTTTGTGAAGTCTGCTCTTAATGGAATTCTTAGGAGGACAATGTCTCATGACTGGGCTAGTCATGGTTCTTGTCTGTTGGCAGAAAGTAGCCCCCATGCTGTTTGCTTCTTCACAGCAGGCTAGAAGCATCAATCCAAAGTCAGCTGATGCCAAACTCAAATTCTTACAATCCAATCTCTATAAGTCCAAAGAAACATAGGTTATCCATTAAAGCCTATCTACTTTACCTTTCCCATGAAACTGCACCCAACACCTACCAACTAGGGATAAGATAAATACCATAGTTATAAAAGATCCCGAATTGCTGTAGTCCTTTGGAGTTTTCTCACCAGAGACTCCCTGTCTTGATGCTGAATGATACCATCTGGCCATAAAAGCAGCCTCTCAGATTTTCCCTTCTCCTCTGAGAATTCCTTGTCTGTTCCCCTTCTGCATGGCAGCCTGAGCTTTCTCTTTGGAAGCCCTCCTGATACGAGGATCTTCCACATGTATGTCAACTCACTACTCAATTAAACTTGTGTGCTGCTATCTCTATGATCCCATCTTTTCCTTCATCAATCTTAAGATTCTCAAACTTCAAACAGCACTTTTGTGTTCTCTAGTGAAAATTACCTGTAACCTCAAGTGCTTTTGTGCTCCGGTGAAAATGAAAGAAAAAATTGGGATCAGATCCACATTCCTTGGGTCCATAAGAAGAAACAACCAAACTCCATCAAGAGGGATTTTCTTATCTACCTCTCCCCCATGTTTCTTTTAGCCTCTTTATCAAATAAACACGAAACACAGATTTAAAGTGAAGTACTCTGAAGCAGTATCAAAGTACCAGCAGTGTAATAGTTTGGAGTGTTATTTCTCATGGAGGACATCATGGTAAATCTTACTGCACAATGAACATGAGGCCTGAAGATAATGGGTACTTAAGGGTTACTGACAAGAAATTATAAATATAAAGAAGCCACCCTAGGACTTTGAGCAGAGTTAGCCTTATCTGTAGTTTGTATTAAGTAGCTCAATCCATGTAGGACCTATTCATTTATGTCATCATTTCTTTGAGATTATTTCATCATTTCTAATGTTAATGTGTTTCTTCTGCATGTTATTAGTTATGTCAGCTATAGAAGGTATTATGGTGAAAATATCAGTATATATGTGCAATTTTGTCTATGTATATTGGTTGCCTGATGTTATTTGAAATAAGAAATACAGACAGGTTATTCTCCTTTTGATGTGAATGAAGCCTTTCCTTCTATACACATGTAGATAGATATTTCAAAACCATTCTTTCAAAGGGTAAAGTTGATTTATTTTTGTACTAATGACTTTAGGTTAAAAGGGGAAAGGACTAGTTGCATTTAGAAAACAACATAAGACCTCAAATGATAAAAGGAACTAATGTGATGGAAGACACAGAACTTCTCAGAAAAGTTTGGCAGGAAATTAAATGCTTCATCAAAGCTCATTTATCATGCATTCACCTTTAGCTCATGACACATTCCCAGTAAATGGTGACATTTGCAAACTGATTTAATTGCACACTCTTTATTTAGGTGAATACTATGGGGCATATTTTTAAATAACTATAAAGTCATATTGGTCATCCATTTTAGTTGTCTCATTATCATTTGTGTGTGTGTGTATGTGTGTGTGAGAGAGAGACAGCGTGTGTGTGTGTGTGTGTGTGTGTGTGTTATCAAAAGAAATAGAACTATTTTACTGGATAGCTACTCTAGAAATTGAATAAAAAATTAAATATCTAAATGTGGATATAGGAGGGCAGTGACTGAATCCTAGAGCGTAGGTGGAGTAAATGAGAAAGAAGACTGGCTTTCCACACCAATAACTAAAGGTTCAGACTTTTTTCTGAGTTACTACTCATGTTTCTCCATGGTTCTGGAAACCAAATTGTACCATGGTTAGAAGGTGCATACACTGTAGCAGGGAGATGCTCCTTAAAATGAACTTCACTGGATCAAGACACAGAACTTCCAATAGTGACCAAAAAAGAGGGAATCCACAACTCATTTGGACTAAAATACAGGAAGCAACTCTAGAAGTAAATTGTTAACAGGCTGACTCTGAAGAGTGGTCAAGTTTTGAAGTCCTAGACACTCCACCACCAGTACTACCTTTGATTTGAGGACAGGCCAAATTAACCACAGATATAAACATCAAAACATCCAAGGGAAATAGGGACTTTATCTAGTTGGTTTTCTCTCCCTCCATCGGTCATTGCTATTTTCCCCAAGAACATGCATCTGTAAAGTTAGAGTAAGAGTAGTTTTGGTTCTTAAAGCTCAAAAGAAAATCATTCCTCTCTATAGAGGAAATATAAAGAGGCCCTTATGGTTACAAAAACTTTTGAAGGAATCTCTTACTTTTTCTCTATCTTTTCTTTAAATTCTTACCAAAAGATGGGTTGGCAAGGTAGAACTATGCAACAGTGTGAGAGTCTAAAATGCTAATAATCAATCAATCAATCAATCTGACTTGTCTTGCCAGAGAACCTGGAAAAGGACCTCTGGAAGCCTCCAAGTGTAAAATTCTGGAGAGGGAGAAGATAAAGCAGGGGATCCCCTGTATAAGTCTCATCCTGAAACTCTATGCATATAATGCATCTGAGAAACATTTCTGATATTTGAGAAGTAACTACAACATAAATTATCACCTAAGAGTAGTACCTGTATATGGCAAGCCAGGGGCAGAATCAAACAACATAGTGAAGTTTTTGACATTCAACTAACCACATCATCTAAATAAGGTGAAACAGAACTTGTATTCTAATTTAAGTGGGTTTATTACTTGCTAAAACAACAACAAAGCCAACACCACCAAGAGATAAAGAAGATATATAGTAAGTAAAACTTTCATGCATCACTAAAGGGAACACACTTTGAAATATTTTGCTAATTAATTATAAATTTAAGCATACTCTTACCATATAACCTTCTAATCCCATTCCTAAGTGTTTACCCATGAAAAAAATGCAAGCTTTGGTCCATACAAAATCCAGCCTGTAACCTGCCCAGAAACCTTATTCAAAATAACTGAGAACTGAGAACTAGCCCAATGTCCCCCAACTAGGGAATTAATAAACAAACAGTGATACTCCCATACAGTGGAAAATTTATTCAGAAATTAAAAGAAACGAACTATTTATGCAAAAATGAATAAATCTCAAGTCTTTAATGTTATATGACAGAATCTCCACTCTAAATTCTACGAAGTGCATACATGTGACATTTTGGAGATATCAACACTGTAGTGATGGAGATTAGATTGCTGTCTGAACATTCCATTCCATTATGAAGGAATGGAAGGTTGACTACAAAAGTGTAGCGTGAGAAAAGTTTTTTGAGATGATGAAACTGTTCTCACTATTGTTGGTAGTGTTGAATGGATCACATGAATATTGATTTGTGAAAACTCATAGAACTATATGTCAAAAAGAGTGAATTTTACTTTATTCAAATTAAAAGATAAAATATTACCTAAATATAGGTTGAAATTAGTTCTTTATACTAAGAAAGAAAAAATATACACAAATAAACTGAAGTGTTTAAATGCTATCTATAAATATCAGACTAAATTGTTTGGAACCACATTGATTTGCCTGCCAAGTTAGATACTCTAATTTACTAGTTAATAAAATGAGGTGATTAAGACAAACTGAAACCAAGGCATATAATGTTGCTTTAGCTAGTGAGAGGACCATGGCTTTGAACCCTTACTGGCTTTGCCTCAGTACTACTGGGCAAGTGGATAGTGTCATTGCTTTACTATGTGAGAAGCACTGATATGTAAGTAATTTTGTCTTTCTTGATAAAGGTTTATGGAAAATAGTGACAGATTTAATTTTACTTTATAGATTTCACTTTCACGAGTTACCAAAAAATGGACTAACAAACACTAGAAGTGGTTAGGATCATTTTCTGGTGACATTCTCTAAAGAAGTTTTAGAACTCTGGGTAGTAGATGCTGTAGCATCCTGCTTGCACTCTCCTTGTCCCTAATCTCTCTGAACTGTAGCACTCACTAATTTCCCAGCCTCAAGAAGGCTGGGCAGCTTCTTAGCTGGGAATTGCTTTAGATGGAAGAGATCTATTTTGAATAAGTTTATGATATCTTCCTAATGGCAGGCCATATCCACTGAAGTGTGAGGTCCTGGCCCCCTTGCCTCATATAACTGTGAAAGACTGTTGAACTCTAGATCTCAGCATGGGATCTGCTGAGTTGTGGAACATCCTCCCTTTACTTCCTTTC